CTGCAACAGAAGCAGTGGTTTTTGTGGTGGTGCTTGATTTTCCGGTGGTGGTGGTTGTGCTGGTGCTCGATTTGCCGGTGGTGGTTGATGTGGTGGTGATGCTTGACATATCTGTGGTACCTGGTGTGCCCGTGTTGCCTGGTGTGCCCGTGTTGCTTGGTGTGCTCGTGTTGCCTGGTGTGCCCGTGTTGCTTGGTGTGCTCGTGTTGCCTGGTGTGCCCGTGTTGCTTGGTGTGCTCGTGTTGCCTGGTGTGCCCGTGTTGCTTGGTGTGCTCGTGTTGCCTGGTGTGCCCGTGTTGCTTGGTGTGCTCGTGTTGCCTGGTGTGCCCGTGTTGCTTGGTGTGCTCGTGTTGCCTGGTGTGCCCGTGTTGCTTGGTGTGCTCGTGTTGCCTGGTGTGCCCGTGTTGCTTGGTGTGCTCGTGTTGCCTGGTGTGCCCGTGTTGCTTGGTGTGCTCGTGTTGCCTGGTGTGCCCGTGTTGCTTGGTGTGCTCGTGTTGCCTGGTGTGCCCGTGTTGCTTGGTGTGCTCGTGTTGCCTGGTGTGCCCGTGTTGCCTGGTGTGCCCGTGTTGCTTGGTGTGCTCGTGTTGCCTGGTGTGCCCGTGTTGCCTGGTGTGCCCGTGTTGCTTGGTGTGCCCGTGGTGCCTGATGCGCTTGTGTTGCCTGGTGTGCCCGTGATGCCTGACGTGCTTGTGATGGCTGACAGGCTAGTGGTGCTTGGTGTGCTCGTGGTGCCTGATGTGCTGATATTTGTAATTATTACAGCTACTAGTAGTAGTAGGATTTGAGTTTTGGAAGCCATACTCTCGTCTTTCACTGTTTAGCAAACAACAAATATAAAATTATAATGGTCCACTTCCTTTTAATTTGTAAATGTTTTTTTAAGTCATATGACACATCCCAAATAAACCAATATTATTCTACATTTTGAAACTATCAGCATGACAGTATTAACTTGTATTCAAGTTACATAAAAACTGTACCATTTTAAGTGCTGTCAAAATTAGTGCGTTAACGCATGCGATTAATTTTTTCAGTTTAACACATTAAAAATATTTAATGCAATTAACGCAGGGGCGGAGCTAGGTTTGGCCACCCCACTCACAACTGCTGCTTAGGTCTCTTTTTTTTTTCTTGGCAAGAAGTGCATTTATTCAGTCGAGGAACGTCTTTAGGTCCACATCAAACGGGAGAAGTTTCAGACACGCTCCAACTTCACTTCAGCGCCAGGCGTGAGTCAAACGAGTGCGGAAACGGTACTGTGTTTGTAACGCGTGCTCTTCAATTGCACTCACAAAGGCATCGGCGCACGCTGTACCCTGTATCTTTTCATATCAAAGCTGAATAAAACTACGTGCATGCAATGTCGTGGTCAGTTAAGTCATGAAGTTTAGTGGTCGACCGATATTGTTTTTTTGACAGCCGATGCCGATATCTTGGAAAGCAGGGTGGCCAATATAAAGCCGATATAATTTTATTTATTTTATTTAATATTTAAGAAATTTGAAATAATTTGAAAATGGATTAAATAAATAAATGTGTAAAATAAACATGCTTATACTTTAAATGACAATGTATTTTTCACAAATAAA